GTTGGGGGGGGGGGGAGAGGTGGGAGCCAGGACTCCTAGGTTCTTTCCCCAGCTCTGAGAGGACTGTGGGGGCTAATGGTTAGAGTTGGGGGAGGGGTTGGGAGCCAGGACTCCTAAGTTGTTCCCCAGCTTTGAGAGGGATGTGGGTGGGGCAATGATCCCTCTAAGTTTTTCCATCCATGTGCGGAATAAACTTGATGTGCACAGAAGCATGTGTGGATGTGCACCACCAGCAGACGCCCACGCTGCCAGCTGTGGGTGCTCTGCTAATCAGCTGGCGGCACCTGCTGGATCTCACGTGCTCAGCTTACAGGGAACGCTGGCCTGGGGTCTAGTGGTTAGAGAGGTGGTGGGAGGGCTCCTTGGTTCTCTCCCCAGCTCTGGGAGGGAAATGGGGACTAGTGGTTAGAGCAGGAAGCCTGGCTGTAACCCTGCCTCGTCCCCCCGCGGCAGGCAGGGAACTACACCTTTAACCGGGCCAAGCTGCTGAACGTGGGGTTCAAGGAGGCGATGAAGGACGAGGACTGGGACTGCATGTTCTTCCACGACGTCGACCTCATCCCCGAGGACGACCGCAACCTGTACACCTGCGACCGCTTCCCCAAGCACGCCTCCGTCGCCATGGACAAGTTTGGATACAAGTGGGTCCCCGCGCCCCGCCCCGCCCCAGAGGTGGTCGCATCCCTGGGGTGGGCGAGGGGTTCCCAGAGAACCGGCCGCCGCGCCCCGCCCCAGAGGTGGCCGCATCTCAGCACCTGGCGAGGGCTCCTTGAATAACCAGTTCTCATGCTCCCAACCCACAAGTGGCCACACCTCCGTGCCCAGTCCCTGAATAACCAGCTGCTGTGCCCCATCCCAGAGGTGGCCGCATTTCTAGCGAGCGTGACTAACAGCCTGGATTCCCCTCCCCCACAGTCGCTGCCCATCTGACGCTGCCCCCTCTTCCTGGCAGGTTGCCCTACAAGACCTACTTTGGGGGGGTGTCGGCGCTCCCAACCCACAAGTGGCCACACCTCCGTGCCCAGTCCCTGAATAACCAGCTGCTGTGCCCCATCCCAGAGGTGGCCGCATTTCTAGCGAGCGTGACTAACAGCCTGGATTCCCCTCCCCCACAGTCGCTGCCCATCTGACGCTGCCCCCTCTTCCTGGCAGGTTGCCCTACAAGACCTACTTTGGGGGGGTGTCGGCCTGCCGGTGGGGGGAGGGGAACGAGGGGGGTGAGTCACATAACAGACCATGTGACTCACCCACTGGGCTAGCCCAGGTCTATGGGAGCTGCCACATGATCTGTTATGGGGAAACTGAGGCACGTATGCAGCACCGCTGGGAGAAAAACAGGAGACCTGGCTTCCCCCACATCCCCCCCTCCCCCTTGCCGTGAGGCCTAGTGCAAACCCCAGCACAGTCTGTTTTGCATCTGTGCACTAGTCAAGGGGAATTGGTTATCTGGGGACCCATTCCCCACCCCAGAGGTGGTTGCATCTCAGAGCCAGGCAAAGGATCACTTTGGATCTAACAACTCAGCTGGATACCAGCTCGGCCTTAGTTAAGGTTGCAACTAAGTTAAGGTTCAGAAATAGAATCTGAATTTTAAGCAGTGGGACTGTGCAGTAGCTCTGGGTCTGCAAAGACTTGGGATGGCTGATTGGTTTGGTTTGGTTTGTTATTATAGAGTGCCTCCTGACTTCTGGGGCTGTGCACCACAGTTTGTTATTGTAGGGTCTCTGTTCACGAGGGAGGTGCAGTTTGGTTTGTTATTGTAGGGTCTCTGTTCACGAGGGAGGTGCAGTTTGGTTTGTTATTGTAGGGTCTCTGTTCACGAGGGAGGTGCAGTTTGGTTTGTTATTGTAGGGTCTCTGTTCACGAGGGAGGTGCAGTTTGGTTTGTTATTGTAGGGTCTCTGTTCACGAGGGAGGTGCAGTTTGGTTTGTTATTGTAGGGTCTCTGTTCACGAGGGAGGTGCAGTTTGGTTTGTTATTGTAGGGTCTCTGTTCACGAGGGAGGTGCAGTTTGGTTTGTTATTGTAGGGTCTCTGTTCACGAGGGAGGTGCAGTTTGGTTTGTTATTGTAGGGTCTCTGTTCACGAGGGAGGTGCAGTTTGGTTTGTTATTGTAGGGTCTCTGTTCACGAGGGAGGTGCAGTTTGGTTTGTTATTGTAGGGTCTCTGTTCACGAGGGAGGTGCAGTTTGGTTTGTTATTGTAGGGTCTCTGTTCACGAGGGAGGTGCAGTTTGGTTTGTTATTGTAGGGTCTCTGTTCACGAGGGAGGTGCAGTTTGGTTTGTTATTGTAGGGTCTCTGTTCACGAGGGAGGTGCAGTTTGGTTTGTTATTGTAGGGTCTCTGTTCACGAGGGAGGTGCAGTTTGGTTTGTTATTGTAGGGTCTCTGTTCACGAGGGAGGTGCAGTTTGGTTTGTTATTGTAGGGTCTCTGTTCACGAGGGAGGTGCAGTTTGGTTTGTTATTGTAGGGTCTCTGTTCACGAGGGAGGTGCAGTTTGGTTTGTTATTGTAGGGTCTCTGTTCACGAGGGAGGTGCAGTTTGGTTTGTTATTGTAGGGTCTCTGTTCACGAGGGAGGTGCAGTTTGGTTTGTTATTGTAGGGTCTCTGTTCACGAGGGAGGTGCAGTTTGGTTTGTTATTGTAGGGTCTCTGTTCACGAGGGAGGTGCAGTTTGGTTTGTTATTGTAGGGTCTCTGTTCACGAGGGAGGTGCAGTTTGGTTTGTTATTGTAGGGTCTCTGTTCACGAGGGAGGTGCAGTTTGGTTTGTTATTGTAGGGTCTCTGTTCACGAGGGAGGTGCAGTTTGGTTTGTTATTGTAGGGTCTCTGTTCACGAGGGAGGTGCAGTTTGGTTTGTGGGGGCTGCTCTGCTACCTCCATATGCACCAGCAGCTGACACAGATTTCTACCCTCTGGGTCCTAGGGGGGCCCCCCCCCAGTCTGGCACCTGAGGCAGCCGCCTCAGTTCGCCTCATGGTAAGGCCGGCCCTGCCTGCCGGAGCAGCCGCCTGCCGCACGGCTCTCCAGAGGAGGTGGGAGGGGAAATGTTCTTTTGTGGGACCTTAGCGAGAACTCTGCCCCTCTCCCACCGCTCCTGAGGGGCTGGGGCTGCAGCTGGAGGCAGGGGGAGGGCTGTGGGACTGAGATGGAGGGGGGGCTGCAGATTGAGGGGCACTGGCAGAGCTGGGTTTATCCCCAGGGCTTCAGGTCCTCCAAGGTCACCACTCATGCTCCCTTTCATTTTTTTCCATTCCTGGGCAGAATAAATTTTATGTTTTTGCCATGTGCGGATGTGCACCACCAGTAAACACAGGCTGGAGGCTGTGGGCACTCTGCTCATCAGCGGGGCTCCATTTGAATCTTTCCTGGGTGGGCCCCCTAGCGCTCGGCGTCCAGGGATCGCTGGTAACCCTGAGCCTCAGGGCCCCTTTGGGCCTTGGGTGCGGGATGGGTGGCTCCAGCAGCTGGCTCCTCCCTCTCCCTCCCAGCTGGACCAAGTGAGAACCAAGAGGGCAGGTGAAAGAAAGGCACCTCCCGCGCCAGGGCCCAGCCCCCTAATGCTTTGGGCGTCTCCGCAGCCCCAGCCCTCAGGGTATGTCTGCGCTGCATTCCTCCTTCCAGAGAAGAATGCAGATGCAGCAGAGCGAAACTGCAAATGAAGCGCGGATTTGAATTTCCTGTGCTTCATTTGCATAATCGCGTCCGGCCGCTTTTTCGAAATACCCTGTTTCGAGATGAACGACGCCGTGTAGACACCGTTATTTCGAGAACAAACCCTGACTCCTTCCAGAATGGGGTTGGAGGGTTTGTGTTCGAAATAACCGCATCTACACGGCGTTTTTTCTCTCGGCTGCATCTGCATTCCTCTCGAAAGAGGAGCCGCTTTCTCAGCCGAGTCGGGCCTCGTCCTTGGCTCATGCAGCAGGCGGCGGGGTCCCTGCCCTCCTAGGCCAGCGGCATTTCGGGGGGGCTGGGTAGAGCCAGCCCATCTGAACCCCCCGTGTTCTCCCCCCCCCTCCATGGGCACTGGTATCTCCTCATGCATCTTCTTGGTCAGGGTGGAGCTCACTTGGCCCATGAGCAGAGGGAGTCGCTGGCCCCTAGACGTGCCAGGGCCGCCCCACACAGCCTGTTCTAGGGGAAGGGGGCAAAGGGCAGCAGCCCTGGACTTCTAGCCCCCCAACTTACCATTAGACGCTGCATAAATTTCTCCTTGCACGCTGCAGCCAGAGCACGTGGGTGTGCTTGTGCATGCTGATGCACAGAGGGGGTGCATTTTTGCACAGCGTTGTGTGTGTGCATGTGCGTGTCACGGATCCTAAGTAGAGTCCTGGGGGGCGGGAAGGAGAAGTTCCTGCTGCCCTAGTGATGGGAGGGGGCAAAAGGTACTTTGCTGCAGCTGGACGACCCGTCCAGTCTGCAGCAATTTGCAGGCTTGGGCAGGAAGGAGAGTTTCAGTAATGCAAACAAGAGTGTGTTTGTTTTTCATACTTCAAATTAAGTGCAGGATAAAACTTTGCTGCCTGTTGTAACAGGAGCGAGCGTGCTGTTTGTACAGGGCTTAGTGCGATTTGTTTGCTCTTTCACACGTAAAAATTGTGTCTGCATTGTGGTTATACAGCTAATACCTTCACCAGAACAGCTACACCCAAAATTCGTGTCCGCAGCTGCATCTGGTTGCCCCCAAATGAGCTGCAAGTTTCCGCAGATATCAAGTGGCTATCCACAAATTTGCAGGGGATACAAATGTATCGGCTTTTGTATCTGCAAAAATGAGCTGAGGCTAGAAAGTGGACAGCCGTGGATTGGCAGGGCTCTCCTGGTTGGTTTTCTGCTCGGCTGCCTGGCTGGGTTTTTTAGTAGCATGGGAGAATCTGTTGATCTTGCAAGGATCTCAGGAATGGGACGAAAATGACAGCAACTCTGCCGGAGCAGGTATTGCGGGACGGGATGGGAGCTGGTTAAAAATAGTCCCGCACAGAGGTCTGTCGTGCAAGTATCGCTGTGGACCTTTGTGGACACGGGCTGGGGCCTGCGGTGTGTGTTGATGGCCTGTGCTCCCCCCCACCCAACTTGGAGCTGAGCCAGCATCTCTTCATCTTTGCCCTTAGTTCCTAAGGGAGCACAGGCCATCAACAATTTCTTTCCAAACCTCTCTGGGCAGGCATCTCGGGGGAGCATTTTTGCACGGAGCGGTGTGTGCATGTGTCACTGATTCACGGTGCCAGCCCCGGGAGGCCCTCGTCAGCCCCCTTCAGGGTCACGCTCACAAGGGGAAACCACCTGGTGTCACCCCTCCGGGGACGGAAGGTTGGAGTATACCCCCCCAGCCAATCTGACTTGGAAGCCTCGAGGAGACGTGGGCCCCCAACGGGAGCAATTTGTCCCCCAGCCCCGCAATGCGCGTGGCTCTCGGGCGAGTCCGTGGCTGGAGCTCGAAGAAAGCCCCGAGAACAGGAAGTTACAGCCTGGCCCGGCTGGGTCGCTCTGGGCGGTGATCCCTCTCGCGGTCCCGCTCCTGTCCGGCCCCGGCCCGGATAAGGACGTTAAAATGTGTGTACGTGGCTAACTGGCTAACCCCTGGACACTTCCACCCCACGCCCAGGGAGCCAGCTGCTGCTCTGTGTTGCTGCTGGGAGCCATGCAGGGCCACTAGGTGCCAACTATCCGGGCCGTTGGCACGCGGCCTTGTGTGGGTGTTAGTGTGTGACGTTCAGACAGGTGTGTCGCTGCCCACACCCAGGCGGGGGAGGGGTGCGTATGTGCTAGCGGCTGCAGGCTTCCTCTTGACCAAACTCCATTCCCAGGGAGAGGAACTGAGATTAGGCTCCGCCTCCTGTGGGGCAGCAGAGGGGCGAGGAGAAGGGCCGTCTCACAAGGTGCAGTGAAGCTGTGGGGCCCGGTCCCTGGCAGAGGGAGGGAGCTGGGGGCAGAGCAGTGTGGGGTGCAGTGAGGGATCGGAGTGCATGAGGTTCAGTGGGGATGGGGGATGCGGTGACCAGGCAGTGGGTTGCACTGGGGGAGGCACTAAACTGTGGGGTTGGGGGTGCAGTGCCCAGCCCAGAAAGATGCAGTGATGTGTGGGGTAATGTCCCCCGTGCAGTGAGTTGGGGGTACACTGGACTGTTGTGGTGTGGGGGGGCAGTGCCCAGCACACTGGGCTGCAGTGAGGTGTGGGGTGCAGGGCCCAACACAGAGACGTATCAGGGTACAGTATCTGGTACGGGGGAAGTGAAGTTTACCCTGGCCCGGGGCGGAGGGGGGGGGACAGACAGAGCCCTGCAGGCTCTGGCTCCCCGGCTGCCCCTCCCCTCGTCCCTTCCTCTTTCTGAAGACTTCCTGTCCGCCCAGTCACTTGGCTCCGTCCCCCGCACCCAGCCCCTCCCGCGCGGACGTC